CAGACCTAAAGGTGTCACTGTGCTCTGAACAGTTTCAGATCTTGCCCAGCTAGCACCTTCACATTAGTATTCAAATAACAGAAAGAGGGATTTATAACAATAATTGTAATAGACAGTTATGTTAAACAGTAGATCAGTAGACCATTTAAGCATATATTTTGCTTGAAGCAAAGATGTAGTTTTACTGAAATCAGGGGTTTATTGGACCCTCTGGGACCAGCCCATGTGCTGAGGTCAGAGCTGGGGCCTCAGTTCACTGCAGATATTCACCCTGCCTTATCTACAGGAGATAAATTCCCTCACAGGTGAGAAATCCAAATGGCTCTTCATTATACGTCTTCTTACATTAAATACCTTCTCTGAAGGTGTCTTCTGCTAGCTCAGGTAACAACCAAAGTATCATATAAATTAGTGGTGACAACATAATAACAATGATAGAACTTCACAGGTTTTCTTTAATAAAGGAAAAAAAAACCTTTTAAACTACGATTAAAACCCAATATTTGAAATGCATTGCAAGTGTAGTAATAGAGAAGCCAAGTTAAATCCTGATTTCTCATCCTACAATTGGAGTGAAGGGGCACGAGATGCCAGAAGAATAGTATGGATCACCTTCAGGAAAACAGGCACCACACTTCTGTTAACAGCTCTTCTGCTGAACAGAGGGGGCAGGACAGGGAGACTTGACCTATAATCTGTGTCAAAAACAAATTCTTGAGAAATAAAAAAAGCCTCTCAAAAGCAAACAAGAAGGAAAATAATTTCAGAACTCTACGAAGGGTTAGAAATGAGAAAAGAAGCAGAAATGAAGAAATATGGATTAAAAAAGGAGGTATTATGGCATCACCTCCTTATTACATCACTAAGTGTTTTGACTTGCCAGCTGTAAACATCTGCAGCTTCTCCATTTCCACGGTACACAGGATGGGAAAAGGCTGAGCCTGTAGCACCACTCAGGGCTGGTAGCTGGCCTTGCTGACTAGGCACAGGGCGAGTGCTGCAGAGGTGAACTCAGTTTAATAGCTTGCTACTTACAGGCTTAGGCTGATTTACAGGTGTTTGTCCTGAAATATGACCATCCATGTACTCGCTGCTAATCCTTTCCCTAACAAGCCTCCTCCCTCTCTGAAATCCTCCAGCTTTGGTAGATAGCTATTTTTGCACACCAAAAAGCAACATCTCCCTCTAAATCTCCTCCCACAGGAAGGGCAGTCTGACTATCACACACCCAGCACGCTGTCTGCTGCAGCACAACACCAAACCTTGACTTTGACACAGTGGGTGTCAGCCGTCTGCATGTGACAGTAATAACAAGGATGTCACAGGGAGAGCAGCACAGATCTTGCATCTCTGCAGCCTGGCAGAAAACCTCCTGTTGGCAACATAAGGCCCACAAAGTAGAGTTGAGTGGCTATTGTTGTGTCCTGGGGAGCAGAATTTCCCATTTTCTCTCCTGAAGGCTTTGCTTGCTCTCACATCTGTGAACCTTTTTCTGCAATCGAGTTTCCATCCAGGTTGTAACCCAGTTTTGGATCCCAGCACACTGCTCAAGACCCAGCCTGGTGGAGGGAGCTGCAGCACTGTGACATTCCATGCCAGTTTCTACTCCTGCACATGCTATTCCAGCACCACGGTAATGATTTGCAGACATACAAGAGATTAAGGTTCACAGGCTTTGTAATCTAAACACATACAAAAAAAATCTTCAGATTGAAAATAAACTCACAAAAGTAGATAACCTTTTTTTCCTTAACTTTATAAGTAATATATATCATATAGGTTCTCACTGCACTGCATTCATCTGTCTCTTAGCTGAGTATGACATCTAGACATCTATCACTCACAGCAAAATACAGCAGCTCAAGGCCATGTCAAGTCTCACATATAGAGCATGAGCCTGGTACTCTTGCTGATATCCTTTGCTCCCTACCCACAGAACCTGCATTTCAGCTATTCTGAAGCACGGACTCCCTCTCTTTTTCTCTCTCGTGCTTTAGGATTTTCACATGGCAGATGAGATGGGTTGTTGGGTCATGGTGAGCTCCACAGCTTTGCCAGGTCCCTGGGCACACCGTGGGATAATGAATCACAGGAAAACTCCTGCTGGAAGGCATGAGCCTGGTGCTGGGGGCCTTTCCCATCACATGGACCAATGGGACACACTACCTACCCGGGCATCAGGATGTCAGTCAGCCCAGCTTATCCTATAACTTAGAGAATCAAATGCAAAGTCACAAGCCTCCCACTTTTTAACCCTGAAAAAGCCCAAGAAAGTCCTATAAATGTTTATAGACCTTCCAAGCAGCCGAGTGAAACACATAAAGCCAAACTACACGAGTTCAAGGTGAAACTGGAGAAAAGTGCACAGGAAGCCTGAGTTCCAAAACACCTGAGAAAATTCACCTCCATGCTGCTGCAAATCAGTCACACTGGAGACCATGACATTGCAGGAACAATCCCACGCAGGACTTCTCACTTCTTTTCAGTGCTACAGAACCAACACCTCCAGTAAAAGCTGACTCAAAGTGCTGATGGTGCAGGGATCCCATTCCCTGCAGCACGGAGTACAAGGGACTCTTCGTATGCTTCAGGTTTCATCTTCACCACTCCTATTCCTGGTTTTACAAGAACAAAGCTTTGAGGTATCTGGGTGCATATCAACACACCACAGGCTGTCCTCCAGTTTCTGTGGCTGCTACCATTCTCCAACAGTCTTCCCTAGGACAAACAGCAGCATATTTGTATTTTTGCCCTGGTTAGTTTGCCCAAAGGCTTCCTCTTTTGATCTCCTCCTGGCTTTCTCTGATATGCCCTTGCTACGTGTGCAGTTCTCTATTCCTGCTTCTTTCTGCTCCAAGTCTGCACAGCACTTACTCGTTGGTTACTTAAAATCTGAATAAATTAGGTCAAAAAGCCTGATTAATCTGATGTGGCTTGTTTCACATAAAAAAAAAAAAGAGTGAAATTGAAAACCACCTTATTGTTCTCTACTGAAATGCTGCATCCCTATTAATTCAGGTGTATAAATAACGCTCTCTAATGCTGCATCAAGGGCTCTGCTGTGTGATTAAACCTGCTTCTCTGACCTGTAATTAGAAACTTTGCCTCTGAAAGTCAGTTTGGAGAGGAAAGAAAAAAAAAAGGAGAAAAAGAGAAGGAACCAGCTCTCAAACCCAACAATTTTGTTCTTAATAAATTATTCAGCATTTTTGAAAGTTGAGCTGGATTTCCATCTGCTAGCATTAACAAACCAAAAAGAAGAAGAACTGAAGGATTCTGACCACCCAGTACAACAGTACAGAGCGTGGGGCTGGAAATAAGAAGCCAGCTGAGAAGTTCAGTGTGTTCCTCTCTGCCTGTCTCTGTTCAGCTGTTGCCATTGAATACTTGGATATCTGACAGGTCTTGGAGTAATGCAGTGACCCTCCACCAGAGTCACACTGAATTACAGCTGTGTTTGGGATACAAAATCAGAAGAAAACCCCAGTATTCAGCAAATGACTTCTTAGTGTCAGCTGAACCAGACAGTGAACACGTGAAATTGATGGTGATGGTCTGAGTTGAGAAACAATATAGAGACCAGACTGCTTGGTCACACCTGAGCGATAGATAGCCTTTTCAAGGCAAGTAACTTCAAGATGAATTCATTAATGATTAAGCTGATCTTTTGCCCCAAGGCTATCTAGACAGTATAAACTATACTACTGTTAGTGCTGGTAGTCACTGTTGCCATCCCAAGGGTACACCCAGAGCTGGAAGGGGAACTTCTCGCTTGGAAATGGGGAGACAGTGATGTCTTTTTGTCCTGCAGTCACTATGAGAAGAACTATTAATTCAGCTACATGTAGATTCACTTCAACAACAGCAACAAAGAGCAGGCAAAATATTTCAATTGCTACAATGAATATTAGCAGTCTTTCCATAAACTGGAAACAGAACAAGCTTTAGATCACCGTATAACACAAGAACTGGCCTGAGGACAAGAAGTCTCTGGCCTTGGGTATTTAGCAGCTGTTTCCAGAGTTCTGCTCGATTTCAGATCAGAGAGATTTTGTAGCAAATTCCTGCTCTGGTTAGGCCTGTAGTCTTTGTGTTGAGGGTGTGACTGGCATTACACTTTCAGTCTTCTTGGTCTTCAGGCTCCAGTTTGCCAGGCTTTACATGGGGTGAATCTGAAGTCGGGTGATTTTGTGTATAATTATTTTTCTAGGAACCTTACAGGATGGATCCAGAGTTTTGGGGAAGCCTTATATATTAAAATATCAAGTTCAAGGCAACTTACACAAGAGAGGAGAAACCTATTATTTACATATCAAGGACCCTTTGGTCAATTCCACAATGCCTCCTATCTTCTGCTGTGGTTCAGACACGCACAGTTTTATCACAAAGAACACAGTGAATCCACCAAAGTATTAAAGTGCCTCTGGAGGAAGTTCTTCATTCCAGATTGCCTGAGTCTGTAGATGTGTGAGGCACAGAGCTGTGGAGACCACAGCTGTGGGCTGAGGGTGATGTACTGCACGAAACAGAAGAGCCCTTCAAACTCAATAATAAGGGCAACTTTAAGTAATCTGTTCGTTTGTAACGTGGTGGGGTCCAAGTTTATCACAGAACATAAATCTCATACACAGTATTTTGGATTAGATAGTGCAGCAGAGGGAGCTTTGCAGAGACAGTGTGACAAGTTTTATGAACTTGTTAAAGAAACAGAACGTGGAAATATTAGCAGTGTTGTTAGGTTATTGCTTAGTAAGCTTCAACATCCAGTACTAAGATGGAAAGAAGAGAATCTAATGAGTTCAGAAAATAGAGCAGTACTTGAAAGCCATTAAGGCTCCTTTGTTTTTCAACAGCATTAAGGCAGTACTTCAAAGCTGGGCCCTGTGAAGCCAGGACACTCACCTTCCTCAAGCCCACCACGGGCAATCCTCTCCCCCATTTTTACAAATCCTCAGAACAAATCCAGTCTCACCCCACTTCCCTTTACTCTAAGGGCCTCTCTCATTTTTTAACACTCCCCCCTGCTTCACAGATGCCTCATGTGCCACCTTTCCAAAGCCCTCTCTCAGCCTCCCCTCTAATACCTGAAGCACACACGTGCTCACAAGCAGGCTGCACACAGGTTGGTGTGATGCCAATACTTCTCCCCTTCAGGAATCCTCTTCCTACTCTCCTTGAGAATCCTTCATTCCCTCCTACAACAGCAGCACAGTGCCCCATCTACCTCCTCTCAATGTCACTATCAGCGTTTCCATGCATACCTTCACTCCTGCTGTTGTTGCATGTCCACCATCCTTTCCTCCATTCTGAACTTCAGATCTGTTTTCCTTCAGTTTTGCACAGATTGCATACAAGCTCTGTATTATTTATCCAGCCACAGATCTTTCAGTGATGTGATAACTCCAGTTCTCAGAGAGGAGAAAAAATGTATTGGTATGCCAGGAACACAAATGAGTGCTACTGCCCAATCACTTGATCTGCAAATCAGTGATATCTAAATTACTGCTGCTACCTCATTTTTCCATGTTGGTTTCTACTGTTTTCTCAGAGTAGTGATACTCTTCCACAGTAATAATAGGAATTACCTGAATGTTTACAATTGATCAGATGCAGCATTTTCAAGTTGTCACGTTTCATAAAGTCAGGGAGAAATAATGTCCAGGTGAGAACGTGGTTTCATGTGTTTAGCCTTAAACATCATGGAAATCAATGTGATCCTTTTGTCCTTCAAACCCTGAACAGAATGAACCACAGTGGGATAACCTTCAGATGGTATGCTGATATCCTGGGAAAAGGAAAAGGGGGTTGGAACTACATGATCCTTGAGGTCCCTTCCAACCCGGGTGATTCTGTGATTCTGTGTAAAGGTTTATGTGAGGTTTTCTTGGTGACGTACTAAATGACTTCCAAATATCAGAGTAATAGAAAAGGTAGATCCAATGGTTTCCAATTTACCAGCATTCAAACTAAAGTATGGCACTACATTGAAAAATCGCCTTCAAAAAATAAAATAAAGAATTTCTCTTAATAATTATCATCTAATGACTCTAAAGAACATCATCTCTGCTCCTCAGTACACTTTTCTAGCTTCCAGAATGCAAAGAGAGTTCTGAAAAATCAAGCTGGATTTCTGTGCATCAAGTGAGTCAGAAAGTAGCACTTCTGCACAGAGGCTTTGCAAACGTGATTGAAATCCGAAGCACAGCGCTGTGCTCCGTGGGACATATCTGACCCATACCCTGCCTTTCAGCTCTGCATTTTCTAAATCACATACATTATGGTTGAATAGGAAGAAAATGTGTAAACAAGAACATAAAAGATCACTGTGAATTCATTAAATCTGATAAGCTGTAAATTGAAGTGCATGAATTCCATTCTCTGAACACCAGGATAAATTTGAAGAATCTCTATTGACTTAACTTGCACTGATATGCATTACAATAGTTTCTGGTGCATTCCAAATAATTATTACAGCAATATTCAAGACCAGAAGGCATTTAGGTCCCAATTGGATAACTAAACAAAGGCCAGACTTACAAAAAAAGTCCATCATAGGAAAGAAAAAATGATAATCTGGATTTGTTTTTAGAGGTGGTGCGGAGGTGTGGCTACAGGACCCACTCAGTTTGGGTCTGGATTTAAGAAGCAGGGGGAACACAGAGTATGACTGTTGTCCTCCTGTTCCTCCAATGTTCCTCCAATGACTGTTGTTTCTTACAGAAGAAAAAGATCAACTGTATACCAGGAGACAGAGCTATTTGAAGAACTTTGTCAGCTGAACACTCAGAGTGGTACTGATGCATTGCAGAGCTCCTTTGCTTTGAGGTTCCCTCATAGGGTGTAAGGAATCCAAATGGTTATCTTTCCTTGATATCTTTCTACTCAGAGATAAGGATTGCTTAGGAATTCTTTACTCCATGGTTAGGATGCTGTTCATTAGCTTTCTTGGAAGTTAAAAAACCCATCTGCCTCCTTCCAGGAACCAAAATGATCCCTAATGTTTTCATGAATAGTAAGTTTCTCAATCAATGACTGAGAGAGACATCACAATGAAAGAAGGGACCTGAGAAAATGGGGGTGTGGAGGAATTACAAATATGTAAAATAAAAGTCACTGAAGCAGCTCAATTAAGTGTTTTTCTGCAAGAAAGTGCCTCTAAAGTGATGCCCTTAAAATATACCGCTAGGACTGTCCAAAAACTGATCAAGCAAAATGTCTTGAGAGCTCCTCCTGCCGGCTGTTTGCTTAGCATTCCAAGCCCTTGCCAACAGACCCAATTTGGGGTTTGTCTTTTTAAGAAGTTGGAAAACATGGAAGGCAAAACTAATGCAAGGTTTCTTTTATTTGTCGTTGCAATAAACCAGCATGGTCTCCCAGCATCTCCTGTACTCCTGCCCACTTGCTCTCTAACTTTCCAGATAGAGATGCTTTGCAGGGAGGCTGAGGTCAATGCTGGGAGCAGAGCAGTGTGGGAGCTGCAGAGGAGCACAAGAGAAGCCTGGCACACTGTGACAGCAGTGGCACAGTGCAGAAACAAGAGTGGAGCAGGTCTGGTAAGACTAACCAAGTTTAACCAGGAGTCCAAGAAGCATCAAACGAGCCTGCTGATTCGAGGCCAAGGCAGAAAGTCAAGTCAGCAAGTCAGAATCAGGAAGGGTGACACTTGGACACACCTACAGCCTACCCCCAGACAAGGACAGCTCTGTGCCACAGCTCTCAAGGAAAGCAGAGAGCCCCCAGCAGGCTTCTCTCAGCACTCTGGTCCCAGGATACACCCACCATATCGGAGCAGACCTTGAACACATGCAGCTGGACCTGCAGGAGCTTGCAGAGTTGGCTGGTGCATGCAGGGCCTGACAACACGCTGCCCAGCACAGTCAGTAAAGAACATAAAAATTATGTGAAGTGCTGACAAGAGCCTGGGTACAAATGTACCACGGGTTGGCAGTGCGAAAGGCTGACAGTGTGTACTTCAGGTGTTTCAGAGCCTGGACAGGACTGACCTTTTTGTAGGGCATTGTGTGCTTGCTTTTGTTTTGGCAATCTGCTGGGAAACATTTCTTTCAGAGCCAGAATAATTTTTAAATCACCACTGGCATGTAATAACAAAACCCCTCCAAGTTTTTCACCTATCATTTAAAAAATAAACGTAAAGTAATCCTGGCTTCCCAGGAGAAACCCATCCGCATACATCTGTGACATTTTGACTGCTCAGTTTTTTGGCCAAACCATGCCCCAAAAGAAGAAAGCAGATGAGACTTACTGGCAGCTCCTTTCCTGCCTTCCAACTGGTGACATTTGCTGTAACCCTGCACTGGCTATCTCTTGCAGGTATGTGCACGAACCCAAACTCCCAGCGCTGCCTGCATGAGGCAGAACATCCCGAGGTTACAAAGCTCAGGTGGCAGGTGCAAACTATCTTTCCAAAAAGAAGCTTGTCAAATCAACAGGGAGAAGAATAACCCTTTCGAAAAGGTTGGCTGTGATTATCTTATAGAGTTACAACAGGAAAAATCAAAGGCAGACACAGAAGGGAAGGGAAACAATATGAGGAGAGTATCCTGGTAGTGTTCCCAGCTGGACTGACACTGATACACTGCCTAGATAAAGGTAGGCTGCTCTGCAAAGACTGTGTGACTACAGAAGAGAGCAATGGTTTGCTAGAAAAAGAACATTCTTTATCAATACATTTATCAATGATAAAAAACAGCTCCAGGTTATGTAAGCTATTTTGGGAAGCAAAAAAAGAAGTCACATATATGACAGGGACTTGTAATTCTGCTAAGTTGGTCAGGGAGATATTTTGTCTCCTTCTGTATAGAGTACTGAATGTATACAGGACTTAATAAATGTGGTTTCTCTGCCAAGCAATTGTATTTCTGCACTTTATATTTCCAGTGTGAAAAAATTAATGAAACGTTTTAAACCAAAGCCGTTTCCTTGGAGCTTCCTCTGACCTTCTTTTCCTCCTCTCTCAGCCGAATCTCCCCGGCAGGATGAATTCAGACCTGATGTCTGCTCCTCCCACCAGGCTTTTGGATATGTGACAATAACCCAGTCACTGGGAGCCGTGCCTGCTGGTGTCCATTGTCCTGCGTCCAGTTTAAGAAAAAGCCCGGAATGAAATTGATGAAGAATACAGTGATTTACAGGAATGGTCGAAGGTTGTTTCTGCACACATCTATCAGCAGCTTGAGCGTCCTTGGAAATTAACACACAAGGCTGAAGCATAGGAATGATTCAAGGCTCACCAACAGACTCTCAAAAGTTAAAAAAAACATCTGAAATAAAGCACCAATCTCAAACTGCTACAATCCTGTGGAACAGCAGAGCTGTGGTAGGAAATCAGGGTGTGCCTGTGTGGGGAACTGCCCCAAACCTGCCAGGCAGAGCCTGTTATGTTCTCCAGCAGAGCACTGACAGGCACAAAGAAGGGATATGCACTATATGCACTGACAAGAGGAGCTGCTGGCTGTGCTCTGTGGAAGGCATCACTTCAGCCACAGACTGAGGCACTGCCAAGGACAGCCTACAACTACATCAAGTTACCTAAGCCCCAGTAAAAGGAAAAAAGACACACAGCATCCAAGAAAGCCAGTATGCATAGAGCAGGTTGCATTGTCCATGGTGGAACAGGAGTGGGTCTGTGGAACAGGGGACACAAGCCAGCAGCCAGGTACAAGGCCCCAAATAACCCAGCAGTGATGCTCACAGGATGGTAGGGGGGCAGGGGGTTACCAGAAGGAAATTCACATGCCTTCTTTGCAGACAGAATTATCTGTGGGATATTATGTGCCCACACCCCATAGTGTTACCTGCTTCCCTCTTTCAGTGGTATCATACACACTGCCTGCTCTGTGTATTTTAGATACATAAACAAATAAAAGACCTAGGTAGCAAGTAAAACTGCTTTCTCTATTAGCATATCCCACAATCACACTGCAAATAGGGTTCAAAAACCTTTGCAGATATTTATCCAACTCCCACCTTAAATCATCACTTTACTTAACAAATGCTTCCATTTGAAGACCAGTTACCTGATAGGAATTCACAACTAGCACCAAGCCCTTTATCTACAAACTTTTATCATTTCTTCTGCCCTGTTCCCCCTTCCATCAGCCTTCTGCAATATCTGCCAGCCTCCTTTACGTCTCAGTTTTGTGTTCACAATGTGAGGCAGGCAGACTCATGTGCCCACAAGCAGAAAAAGCTCCTCCAGCTCACAATAACTCAGCAGGTTTCTGAGATTTTCAGAGACTGCATTACTGTGTGCCCATGTCTGCTGTCAAATTACTGCCTGGATGCAGGCGCCATGGCTAACCTCAGCCTTACCCCAAACACAAAACTGTCCCTAAGCCCTCAGAAACATCCATCTTCTCTTTCAGCACCACTTACAGCCTGGCTGACGTTTCTAAGAAATAAAGAGCGTGTTTACCTCTCTGAAAACTTATTATGGTTTTATGTCCTTTTTGTGCAACCTCCTGAGAGCATCAGTACTCGGCATCATGAAGTGAAAACGTACCGAAACAGATCTGAAACATGGAAAGTCTTCCTGACATTTCTAAAGGAAAATGGAAATAAAGCCATAAAAACAATCCTTCACATACAGCAGAGGTCAAAAAATAAAGTCTAAGCTTAAGTTTGTTTTTATCTTCAGCATAAGCCCCATGACTTCTCTAACTCTTAGCTGCTTGCCTCAGGCCCTGGCTGTAGCACTACAGCAGCAAGGAAAAACCCAGAGCACAGCTACTGTGACCTTAGCCACCTTCCCTTAAAACCCTCACCCTCCCCTGCTCCACAATAATAGAAAGCTGTTCCCGGAGCTGCTACAGGGGAAGCAGCTATTTCCGTGTCATGTCTTGCCTTAAATACCTGTACGTAGTGAAGATGGCATACAGAGATCATACAAACCTGTAATTGGGGCCGGATTTTCTCCAGTCATAGAGGCACATTACTGCCTGCAACTGCTGCTGTCTGTTTCGACCTTCTCCTCGAGGTGTCTCCACCTCCCATTACAATGTCACAGCAAAAAAAAGTTACACGGTGGTCTGCAAAGCAAAAGCAAATGGAAAGACAGAACTGACATTGTTTGTCTGCTGTCAGGCGAATTCCAAAACAATACACTGAAAGAATTAACATTGTTGCACAAAAAGCAACATATATACATATACATAACATATATAATATATATACATACATATATATATAATACTCCTATTATTCAGTGTTTTACAGGGAAAATGATGCATCAGGTATTCATAGGACTTGTCAAAGTAAGTGAAAATTTACCATCAGAAAGAAGAGAATCAAGGCTTTTAAATCCCTGATACTCAGTTAAGTGCATTACTTTAAAGCAGCCCTTAGATTGGATGAGAAGGAGCACTAACACAGAGAGAAACATGGGTTCTACATCTTAACACAAGATTTTCCTAGTGGAATGGCAATAAGGATACCCTGCAGCCTTTGGTTTCCTCTGCTGCCATGAAGCCTGCATCCTCCTGACCATGCTGGTAGCCAGGATAACCCCCAATCCATATTCTATGGCCAGCGCATGCTGAGGGAGGCAAAGATAACAAAGGCTGCGACAGAACTCTTATCAGGAAAGTCCTTTCTGGCCCCATTTCCATCAGCTCATAAAAGGAACAGCCTGGACCCACATGCTGGGCCCTGCTAAGGCTGCTCCAGGCTGGAGCTCTTCATTTGCAAAAGAAATGACCCATTCATTTCTCCCTGACCTCTGCAGGCACTTCAGGCTGCTGGCCCCCACCGCTCCTCAAACAGGTGCTCAGGGCCTCCAACCTCGGCCTTCCCAGGCAAGCTGACCTAATGCAGCTTCAAGAGCCCTGCACTGGGGCTCCAGGAGGGTTGTGGCACAGGTTGGGAACATTTACCTCTCAAAGCATTTATTTCCAATCCAGAAAGCCAGAGACCATATGAAAAGCAGCTACAAATGACACGGTGTAACCTTAATTGAAGCTGAATAAGTAAATAAATGCAAATCCGCTTGCGTGCACTTGCACACCACTGCACAAGTGATCTCTTTCCTGCAACTGCTGACAGCTGCATTTTGCAGCTGCATTTCATGCTGTCTCGTGGTTGCACAAGCAGGTCCTGTGGTTCCTGTAAAGAACTGGCTGGTTTCTGTCACAACTGGGGAATGCTTTGCCTCTGCAATGGATTTCCAGATTCGATTTTGTGTTGATGGATGAACAGCAACCATGAAACTTCAGCAGGGAAATCCACATGCTTGCACTGCATTCCAAGGAAAAGACCGACCTCTTCAGACATGCAGAGTCACCTTAGAACTCAGCCCGAAAACCAAGAGCATCACAATCCATATCTTTTGTTCTCAACAGCCCCATTCTGGAAAGATGATGCTGTTTCACAGCTAGGCACAGGGCAGCCTCTTGTCAAAGGCCACAAAGGCCCTCTATGGCTGAACTGGGAACTCAGTGCTGATTTTAAGACCAAGTTCAGAGCCCTTTTCATGGCACTAATCTCCAAACAACATTTTTCTACTTTGCAGACAGCCTCCACAGAACGCACAGTTATCAGACTGAACATAACCATCTTTAATAAGAAAGCTGGTTTGGAAGCTGACTTGTTTTTAGTGCCACATACACACAAGCTCTGTTACTGGAAGAGGAGTCCTGTGATTCAGAACCCGAAGTCTGATGCAATTGGGCGTTTCAAGCTGCTTTCCCCAGCAGAGAACAACCCTATTAGTTTGAGAAAGTCCCCTGCCTGCTTTCTCTCTGAGTAATTAAGAGAGAAATCCTCCTCTCAGTGACCCCAATGCTCTCAGCCTGGGCTGATTTACACATGAAAGGCCCCCTCTGAGGGGCTTTCTCCCTTTCACATTCACAACCAGGCAGGACCTATAAATAAAACCTTTCTGAAAACAGGAGCTTTCAAAAAGGTCTGTGTATATGCGTAAACGTGTATGAGAGAAAGGGAATGGATGCGTGCACTTGAGAATGCGTGTGTTTGCATGCATACGGGAAGAGCGGGTGAGCAGAATGTGCATTCAGGCGCTGGCCCACATGCAAACAAGTGTACTTGGAAAAGCACCTACACGGATATGGAAGCGTGCACAGGTAGCTGCATCCCTTGCAGGAGTGAGGCTGGTTTCCAGCTAGCACAGTTCCACAGGGCATTCATTGAAGTCAGCTGAGTCACTCCGGAGTTACACATGAAGAAAAAAAAAAGAGTGAATTTAGACCCAGCTGGGCACAAGAGGACGCCTGCAATACACCCTCCAACAAGCAGTAAAGTCCTTGCAGAACAAACTGGTAGGCTTACGTAGCATTGGATATGTGGAAGCTAAGAGAACCAGGCCTTGTGGTATGGAGACCTCCGTTCAAAAATCTCCGGTGAGATTTTTGAAAAGGCTGCATCTTCTTGGATGAATATAGAGAACAGCATTACACTGAAACAATGACAGAGAGAAAGTAATTCTTTTTGAGTTTGTTGGAACACAAAAACCCCTCCACGTTTGAAAATAAACAGTGAAAATAAACAGGGCTACTGCCATGAAAAAGAAGGTGAGAAAAGTAAAAAGTCCGTGACGGCCTTTAACATGCATAAACCCCAAAATGCCCAGATCTGAATCCATGCTTCCCTCCCCCGCCGCCCTGTTCTCCCTCGTGTCTGTGCAGCAGGGGTATTTCCCTTTCCAAGAGGCCTAAGCAGGACCCTACGCAGTTTCCAGGAAGCTGGCAGTTAGTGTGATCCTCTCCTAATACAAAACAGGTGACACACAGCATTAAGCCATGCCAGGACAGACTGCAGGGTTTCATAAAGCAGGTACTGGGCTGCGAGTCTTTGCCCCAGTAAGAGAGGGCTTTTTAAGACCTGGCTACAATGTGCTAATTTGAGAACTGCAAACTATTTCACTCCACTATTCCTTACCAGCTGAACTGTTTGCTCACTGAAACCGGGTCTGTGCTCTATGCTAACGCAGTGCCAGCAGTCAGGCTATGCTGACACGCAACTCAGACTAGCACACTGCAGCTGCACCACTGCCTGGTAGGAGGCTCCAAATCAACGTGCAAGGAAGGCAGGCAGGAGGGGTGCTGCACCCTCCTGACCTCATAATCAGTAACAGTAACTCCTCGATCTCCCCCCCCTTCCCAATTCTTATGCAAAAGTTTAGAAGTAGGCAGGGAAAAAAAGCACAAAGCAGGAGAAGGACAGCAAAGCCTCACAGAAGCGCACAAAGCGCAAAACGTCTGTTCTGCCAGTTCAAAAAACTCTTCCCAGCTACTCGCAGTAAGCAGGAGTGTGCGAGCAGGGACGCTGAGCTCCCCTCCTACTGAGCTCGCAGCTAAAGCCCTCCCCCGGTTCCCAGAGTCTTCAAATGAAGATTTGCATAGTACTTCCAGATCATTCCCTAGAGAAGGGACAATGGCCCTCTAAACGCCCTCTTCCCCCCCACCCCCTTCACTTACAAAGCTGATAAAGCCCTGGTGAAAAGGGGAACAAAGAATTTACAGATGGCAGAATATTGATTTCCGCTGTCGCAGAACTACAGGGAGAAGATGAAGAACCCCCCAGGAACTCTGTGAAGTTTGAGACACGGGCACTATCTCTGCAGCTCGAACTCCGCATTCGTTATGGCAGTGCCCCGTCAATATCTGATGCAGGAAGCATTGCTATTGTAGAGGGATGAGCAGGCCGCTGAAAGCCTCAGAACGCAGAGAGATGAGATTACAGCCTGAAATCCCAGTGAGCGCGCTCGTTGTTTCCAAACTTGCTCAGCAGAGAGGTGCTGCCAGTGACAGCAGTTTGCCACCAGGCGGGCCAGCCCGGCATTGCTCCCAGAGGCTTCAACTCCAGCTGACAGTATCGAAGGCTTTCACATATCACATTTCACCCCGAGATTCGTATTGCTACCCACGTCCTCTTTTCCCTGCTACCCAGCACTGCAGCTGGGAAAAGCAAGACAAGAAAATGGCCTAAGTCTCTTCTGTAAGGAAACAGCGCATAGAAGTGAGTCCATACAGTGGTTCTCAGTGATCAGAGGCAGCCAGAGTCGATGGCAGAGCTGCCTGTTTGCTCACCAGCATTTTCCCCACACCTTCATAAAGATACATGCTGTCACGATAGATGCAGTCATCGTGGTGACAACAACCAGTACGTATTGCACAGTTCAGCATGTTTCATTCAGAACTGTTAGCAGAACATCCCTCACAATTCTCTCTTTAGAATAGCTTGCTTTCTTCAAATACCTGCCTGGCTTTTCTTATCCACAAGAAGATTTTTCATATGGAATCTTTTGTATATTTAAGTAGTCACTCCCCATTTATACCACGTTTAAAGAAGAGGTGAATCAGACCCATTAGTCTCCTGACATGCCCAAGATAGAGATTATTTGTAGGGATGATAAAGCTTGAGGAAGTACTATTTTAAATCAGAAAGTAATGAAACCACCAGCACACCCAGGGGAGGACAGACAGGAACCCTTTTTAGTTGTTCTCCATGAGCCCTCTGGAGCTTCGCAGGCTGCTGCTCTGACTGTGTCCTCCATCGACCTGGCTTCTACCAAAGGTCAAACAGGCTATTGCCAGGCTCCATAAGAACCACAGTCAAATAGGATCCAGACATTTGCAAATTAATTACCATGAAGAGTTCTTCTGGAGATGTTTTGTTGATCCAAAAGATGTTGTCAGCAGAATTATCCCAGGAATCCACATAATTAAAAATATACCAGTGGCTACAAAAATACATTTAATTACAGGCATATTTTTACTGTTATGACCAACATAACTTTTATATCCCAGTGAGGAGAGTGGTCCCTAATACATACCTATAAACAAACAAACAGAAACCTTAAGAAACACAACAGATGTCCTCTTGATGATGCTTAAAAGCAATCAAAATACAGCAGTGCAATCACCTCACTGGCAGGGAACATTATCCAGGACGCGAGGAGCATCTCTGAAGCTGCCTGCACTGAGCACAGACTCTGAATCTCAGCCACAGAACACTAGGAAACGTTCCTCCTCTACATTTCATTTGCACACAGTGCCATACATGGTTACCTTCCCTTCTTCTGCTTGGAGATCAGCCTGAACACCAATTCCACCCTATGCTGACCCGCAGTACCCAGGATGAGTTCACATCAGCCACAGCCTCACTGCAGCCTCCTCTGTGCCCCAGCCCAGCCAGCCCTATGCCCACACCTCCTAAAGCTGGCTCCTTTCCTCACTGCTCTGCACTGACTGCCACTGCTTATGCACAGCCTCAATCGAGGGCCCCTTCCCATCCTCTTTCCAGGGCTCTCCAATCCCATCCTCACAGCTCCAGAGCCGCTCACACAGCAACACCCTAAGCCTCCAACAGCAACACATCAGCATCACCCCTCAGCACCAAAATGGCGCCCCTTCACCACCCTTCAGCGACTTAGCGCGAGGATGCTCACGTGACTAAAGATCCTCCCGCCCTGCGACAACGCATGCGCAGAAGCGTGCCGCAGCTCAAGGTCAGGCAGGCGGTGGCGGAACACTGCGCGTGCTCCGTCCCGCTGCAGTGACGTCATTTCCGGTTCCGGAGGGCGCTCCGGACGCTGAGGACATGGCGGCGCTCAGAGGGCTGTCCCGGCTGCTGCCTGCCGCTCCCGGCTCAGTGCCTGCCCGGAGCATGGCGGCCGCGGTGGCGCACGAAGGCGGCGGAGGTAACGGGGACGAGGGGGCGTAGCGCGGGTTCGTATCGCGCCGCTGCCCTCCGCGCCGGGCCGGGACGTGCTGCCCCCGGGGTGCCCTTTGGGGGCTGGCAGGGGCCAGCGCTGCGGCCCCGTTCACGTGTTAACGCTTAACGTGCCCTCGGGTCCCGCCGTGACGCGGACAGTCACTGTTACTGTGTTCCGTACCGCCTCCAGCCCGCCTGTGGAAGACGCTGAGCTTCGTCGTGGCGCTGCCTGCGGTCGGTGTCTGTATGCTGAACTGCTACCTGAAGGCACAGCACAAGCACGAGCGGCCCGAGTTCATCCGCTACTCTCATCTCCGCATCCGCACCAAGGTGCATTTGTTTACCTGCTGTGTTCTGTGAGCTCCGAGTGCCCAGAGTTTCAAATTGGAGGAGCACAGGCACCTGCTGAGCAAGGTGCTGTGTGTACAGCCGTGCTTTTAACTCGCGGCTTTGCTCCCAGCTCAGCAGTGTCTGGCAGCTCTGGTACCACCGTGCACCTCCCAGCCCCAGGTAGCCTTGGTGATGTCTCCCAGAACAACATCTCAGGTGTAGAGATGCTGTGTTTACCTCTGGCTAATACAGATTGCACATTAACAGCTGATCCCAGCCTCTCGTAGCAGGGGTCCTCATGGCACAGCACAGTGGATGTCCAAATGACAGCAGTGACTTTGCTGTTTGGAGACAACAGCTGTCAGCTAATGGAGATTTTTTCATCTCTAGTTTTGTACAGCCTGGGAGTGCTACCAGCTTGCTTAAGCTGGAGTCTGTGTTTGGTGTTGAGTCCATTTTTGCTATGCTCCTTCAGTTAATTGCTAAAGGCTTATTCTCCTTCTTTCCTCCAACAGCCTTTTCCCTGGGGTGATGGGAACAAAACTCTATTCCATAACCCTCGTACAAATGCTCTCCCAACCGGTTATGAAGATGAAAACTAAAATCTCAACCACAGCCACAACTTTGGCTCTTCTTGTGTTTGGACCAGGCTGTTCTGTGGGAACCATCACTTAAGAAGATCTGCATTCCTTCTACAGTCAAGTTGAATGGTGGTCTGGTCTCCACCAGTACTTCTGTAGAAGTCCTTTAAATAAACAGTTCCAAGCCTGAATTTAGGCTCTGACTTTTTTATTAATCTGTGACTCCTTAAAAATTCCTAATTTTAGCATTGAACCTTCCCCAGCACAGAAACAGGGGGCTTTGACTGAGTGTTAATACCTGCTCCCATATCTGGTAATGCTAACAAGTCACACATCCATCACAAAGGATATAAAATCAAATAATGGATTTTGTCTGGTTTAACTGATAGTTGTTATCCCACATGCAGATGAACGGCTATTAGTCTAATATTATAAATTCAGTTCCATTTATACTGAGTGACCCAGCAGTAAGCATTAACAGCTTACTCTGTAAGTGCTACACTTGATTTCTGCACAGACTGTTTTGCCAGCTGCCTCATGCATGTGAGGAGTGTGGTTAATGCAGGCTATGTGACCGTGCTGGAGCTACTGCTGTTGCTGAGGGCATGGGGCACAACGATCCCCAGTGCTGCAGTTTCTGAGCTGCACAAGCCTCAAACCTCTAATTGCTCGCAGTTATTACTTAGAAGCTGTGGGGTAGACAGGCCAGCACTTATGTTTGAGAACTCCTAACTTCTTAATTAAAAAAATAAAGAAGTAAAACCCGAGTTGCCCTTCAGGTAGCGTCTAAGAGCCAAGGAGCGTGGCGTTCTCCATTTCCCCCTCACTATAATTCCAAGAAAATTAAGAAATTTACTCCTGTTTTGTTCCCAGCATAGAATATTTATTGTCTCTTTTATCTGTGTTGGTGTAGAGGGGACAGCTCTGCCCATTCCTGCCACAGTGCTCACAGGCCCTGGGATGACATGGGGTGAGTCCTGAGCTCGTGCTTCTCCTCCTGCACCCTTTCTCTCTGACTGTTGCAAGATCTGCAGGAGTGAAAGAACCTTTGTTGCTATAATATCGTGGTGGACCAAGTAGAAAATTCTTGGAGAGGAGAAGGGTAATTCCTAACAACTTCACAATTAGATGGGAAAATAAACACCATCCTATTCTTTTTGCTGAGAAGCCTCCTTTACTTTTCTACATTCAAAGGAAGAGAATTTCAGATACTCATTTTAGGAAAAAACAAAGTGCCTGCTACTCAGTCAAGTTGCACAGGAGTGACACAAACACTCAGGTGGGGCGTCTGGCACATCAGCCAACCATCTCACTCTTTCAGCATCCACTACCAAATTGCTGAATAACTTACTTGGAGTTTCTGCAGTTTACGAGCCAACGCATTAAGACCCACAGTACCTTTAGTTTGCTTTACAAGGTGTGAAGTGCACACAGTCCAGGAGCAGCTTCGTAAGCAGGTGAGGTGAGGCAGGACAAGCTGCTAGGGCTTTTAACTTACCAGCTGTAAAACTTCAGTTCACCACTGTTCTCATTCAACACACACTTTGATTATCTCAATGAAAAATGTAACAGTAGTTGTAGCCAACCCGGTGCTCCATTGGTATTGTGTACAAAGATGGCCAGGCCTGTGCAGTTCTACTGCAGTAACACATTACACCAAAGGAGCAAGAATTCAAATTCAGGATTACTTCAGTACCTCAGAAAAGGCCGAAGAAAGTGGGCTCTGCATTAACTGTTCCTTCACTTCTGTTACAGGCTGCCTTTGTTCCTCTTGGAGGTCATAATCAGACGCTACCAGACACTTATCCACTTGAACAAAATGTAACTTGTTGTATTTATTTCATTTCAGTTATTGCAAGTCCAGCAAAAGTGCTTTTACACTATCTCTGTTAATGGCAAAATCAATGCTTTAGCCCCTCGTCTTTTGGGATCATATAAACCAGACTTCTTCCACCCAAATTCAGCACCACAGAGATGAGGCAAAGTAAATCAACCTTCTTGTTAAACACCTCAAAGTGTTATATAAATAAGCAAGAGAAATGGGTCAGAGATTAACTATAAGTTCAACATCTCCCATTACAAAGTACATTCAATAGAAGTTACTTAAATCATCTTTCTGCACTGTTATAAGCCGAACCATCACCACAATTCATTGGAAAGGAGGCAGCAGGTAGCACATCATGAAGTCTTTTGGTTCGTGGCAGTTTGTTTTTACAAGCATAGAAAACACCTCACTTCCTAGAATGCTACAGAGAGGAAGCAGCTTAGCAAAACGCTATCCAGGTGCGTCCCGGCTGCTGGCTGGTCACCGTTCTCAGCCCACAGGCTCGTATTAATGACTCCCTCCAGTCAGCTGAAGTCAAGAGGAATTTTCAGCTTTCCCTTTGCTCGGGCCCATGAACTCCAGCCCTTCGATGGGTATGTCCTTCTCCTTGATCGCTTTCTGGAAAGAACAAGAACAAAACAAGTTATGTTGGAAGCGTGTTTCAGACAGCGCTTTACAGTGCTGAGAAACAAAAGTTTCGATTCAAACCATCATCTAGAAATAGCAGCCCCGGGTGGGCTCCTAACGTTACGGACGTTGAAGTCCGTGCAGGCGGCGGCTCCGCAGGGCCCGCACCTGCACGCAGAGCTGGTAGCGCTTGAAGAGCTGCCCGCACGGGTCCCCGTCGTTCTCGCCCTTGAGGAACTTCTCGGCGAACCAGCGGTTGAAGCACTGATCGTACTCGCGCTTCAGCTCGGTGCACGCCTCCCCTACGCTGTTCATGGCGGCGGCACGGCCCCTCCGCCACCGTTCCGACGCACTTCCGGCGCGTGTCGATGACGTCACGAGCCTTTTCCGGTGGCGCGCGATGCGGGTTTTGGGCTTGTGCCGGTGGCTGCGGGGCGGGACGGTGCGAGTCCTCGGACGCGGGGCGGCCACTGCGAGTTCCGCGCCGCCCCCGCAGGTCGGGCAGCTCCCGGGGCCGCGCCGCTCCGTTGGGGGCGGTAACGGTTTGGGCAGCCCGGTCTCCGCTCTGTTGCAGGACGGCGTCACGGTGGAGGTTCTCGACCACCTGGAGCGCCTGGCCCTGGTGGACTTCCGCGATGCCGAGGGCGTTGAGCGGCTGCGGGAGGCGGTGCGGTTCGCTGAGCGGCTGCGGGAGGTGAACACGGAGGGAGTCGAGCCGATGGACTCGGTGCTGGAGGACAGGTAAGGGCCGCGGCTCTGCGCTGTGCGGCCGTCGGGCGCCTTGGTGCTGGGAGTCGCCCACGTTCGCATCCGGCCCTCTGCGCAGCGCACAGACCCCTGGCCGCTGTCCTCAGGTGTCTGTATCTCCGGGAAGATGACGTTACAGAGGGCAGCTGCACGGCAGAGCTGCTGAAAAACGCCAGAGAGAAAGTAGAGGAATATTTCGTAGCCCCACCAGGTACTGCCTTCTTTACAGAACCTTTGTATCGTGCTTGAGTTAACCTGAGGAGCGTCACCTGCCATCACAAATTGCTTTCCAAAGTAAGGAATGACTGCAATCATCTGTGCTAACAAACACAAAACCTGGGGCACACTGCAAGCTGTTGAGCCAAAAGCAGTTTAATGTTACCTTACAGCTCCTGCACATCTCTGCTTACAGGAAGCCAAACAGAACTTCCTGACTTTCCTTACGTGCTCACAAATTCAGACTGTCTGCATGCGCTCAGGATGAACTGGAGTAGCACTGTTGCATTAAGCTGCACTGCTCACTGACAGCTGGTCTCACACAACTCTGTTTTCTCCCAGGTAACATCCCTTTACCAGAGCTGGAAGAACGAGATACTGTCCTGAAGGGTTCGTGGTGAGAGAACTCAAATGCCATGTCTCTGTTTTATTTGGGAAAACTGTGTTTTGTGTGGTCACAACTGAAATACCCCAGCACGAATTTGGATCCACGGAACACTTGCTCTGCTAAACTTTCTGTCCCATCCTTCTGTAAATTCTCTTGGTGCTGAAATACTTGATGTTCATGAAACTGGAAGGCAGCATGACAAGTGCTTCCATATATCAAAGCATATTTTATGTATTTTATATTCCTGAATGACTTAAGGGCTTTAAAGAGAACATTAAAAACTGAAGGTTAAAACAGATAGTTTTATTGAACTAGTTTGTTAGGAAAACAAGGGAAGGTTGTATCCAACATTTCTCAGCTGGCTGAGAAGCTTCCTCACTGAAGCTGTACAAATCAGAGACAAGGTAAGGTCAGGCTTGTTGAGGAAAGGCAGTGACACATTTGAAGAATGCTTCAGCAAACCAGAACCAAATAGCCCAGACCATTCATTTCCAGGCCACAGTAACTGGACTTAAAGGCGTAAAACCAATCTTTTTCTTCCCATGTGGTGCCCCTCCAAATACAGATTTAAGGATCCAGATTTATTTCCTCTGGCTATAATGCCATGCGCTAAAAAAGATCACGACATGCTGAGCCACAGTGAAATTTCTGAAGAAGTGCTAGAAAAGACCCTTGAAGTTGTTGTAATGGAATACTGCTGGTCAGCAGTTTTAAGTCTGCTCTTGTGGCTCTTGAGATGTGCCAGGACGGCAGGGTCTTCCACAGCTCCTGGCACAAACTCCTCGAGGGCAGAAACTCCTCCTCAGATCAGAATTCAGTGTCGTCCACTTCACACAATGCATGTTCTGTATCTGATTGCAGGAAAAAAAAAATTACTCCCACTTTGCTTCTCTGCATTTCTGTATAATGAACAACAGCAGCTTTGTGCTTGTGATGCTTGGTAGAGGAGACGTTAAACAGCCATAATTGTAATTGTTTCTCCTATGGACTCTATATTCTACATCCCTACAAACAAGACGTAATTAATAAACTAAATCTCTTTCCCACTGTCAAATTCACTGCAAAGCTTGAAAATTAGAGCTTGTGTCAGACTTGTCAAGAATCCGACCCTGCAAACTGTAAAGCAGGTTGTGTTTGTATATAAATCACAAGGACAGACTTCAAGGTGCACCATATGACACACACACGTTAGCAGAGAATTCCCACCCTGAGAAATCCCTGCGTGTTCTGTCCATGTTGGCTGTCGTCTTTTCCCTGTCAGAGGAAATGGGGACATTATTTACATAAAGAAAGGGAGAGGAGTTGAACAGCATGGCTGCAGGAGCCAGCAGCCCAGTGTATCATCGGGCAGCGATCAAAGCAATTTGGACCAAGATGATCCCACGTTCCCCATGCAGCACGGGCTGAGCTTAAAGCTTCCGATTCTCTGCTGCTCCCTTAACCACACACCCTGGTGAGAGGACAGACTGCCTAATGCTTGTTCCCTGCAGCCTCAAACTGTCTTACAAGTTGAAAGCATCTATTTCCTTAATGAAGGGGTTTGTTACAATGTCCCTGCTAATAAGGGAATTACAGCCCTGACTCAGATCCCCACAACCTGCACTTTAGGAACCCTTGCACAGGGTGGACGAGGTGCCTGTGGGGCAGCATGCGTTGATCGGTGCCTCAACTCCATGTAATGAGGTGGTGCTGCCCTGTGGGATGGCTGAGCTCCACCGGGGTGGGCTGCACCCAGAGGAGAGGAGGCGCCCCTGGCTCACATCCTTACACCGTTCTGCTACGTACAATTGAGAAAAAAAACAACAAAAACAAAAGTGAGGCCAACATAATACAAACCTGTAAAACAACTGTTTTTCTCAGTGGATTCCTACAGCCAAAAGAGAAAAGTCTTTGTGGTTAAAAAAAGAAAGAAAGGAAGCCATATTCTGAGCTGCTATAGCAGTTCCGGGTTCCCTTGGAGACCATGGAGCTGGTTTGACTTACACCTGCTATGTTTTCTCCATAGCTATGCAGATCTGTAACGTAACACTGGGCTAGATGGCAGAGATTTCTTCAGTTGTATGGAAACACAAAAACTGAGGGTGTTCTATTGCTAATAATTATTATTTGAAGTTTTGGTAGAAACTGGGAGCCCCAGGAAAAGCGTCATTCTGATACGTATTCAACACAGAGCAAAAGAAAAGAAACCTCGGCTGAACAGTGCTGGCTGTCCAACCTCCACCTGCAGCAGGAGTCTCTTGACAGGCACCATCCCCTGCCCAACATCTCTGGCACGTCCTCTGCTCCAGCTGCCATCTCCTTGCATGTATGTTCTGCCTTCCCCTGCAGTTCTGGCCTGAGGGAAACACGCTTTCACATTCCTGATCAACAGGAAAAGCTGTACAGTGTTTCTTTAAAGTCACGTATCTCTGGCTTTCGTGTTTGTGCAGCCCCACGTCTCACCCACAGACAGTTCTTGCAGCTGTCATCACATTACTCCTTCAGCAAACCAGTTCTTAATAAAAGCACAGAAATGTGCCTGCAGCTACCAAACACCGCCTCCTCAGAGCCCACGGCTGGTTCTGAAGGTCACTGCAGGCACAGGGCAGACACTTCAGTGCCTCATTTCTGCCATACGCACGGAGCCATTGCTGGCGCTCTGTGCATTCATTGCACGCTGTGGCCCCAGGACCCCAAAGCTTTCCAGGCTGTCAGCAGCAGGGCTCCTTCTGCCTCCTCACTGCTGCGCTCAGTCAGAACGGCGCAGAGATGGCGATGGCTGCCAAACTGCCTGACATCAAACTTGGACCCGATGGGTTCCGCTCGTTAAAGGAGCCGATTTTAGAGCCGGACCTGATCGATCTCCGTAGATGTGGGCAAAAGGCTTTTATCAGAGGTCGGTCGGTCAGAAAGACAACCAAAAACTGAAAATAGGCACATTAATGTGAAGATCGATGGAGCGCGGTTCCCGAGCTTCGGAGCGGGCGCCCGCCCGCCGCCCGTCGCTATGGGAACGGACGCGGACACGCGGCATGCCGGGCGGAAAGAAAACGCCGGAATAAAATCCGAGAGGAGCTCCGCCGGCTGGCCAATGAGAGCTCGGGGGGGCGGGGCCGCAGCCAATGGCAGGCGGGCAGCGCGGAGGAGGTGGGGCTCGGGGCGGGGCTGCGGGAGCGGAGGCGTGCGCCGGGCGCGGCGTGCAGTCGGCAGCTCCGATCGGCGCCGGTCTGCAGCGCCCGCATCGGTGAGCGGGTCCGGGTCCGGGTCCGGGTCCGGGCACGGAGAGTGCGGGGCGACGGCGGCGGCGGGGCTGGGGGAGGACTGCCGGAACGGGGCGGGGGGCTGCTGGGGTGGGAGGGGAACGGCGATGTGCGCGTAAGCGCGCGGCTGCACCTCCAGCTCTGGGTTCCGTGCCCGCTGCAGGCAACCATGAGTGACCGAAAGGCGGTGATCAAGAACGCCGACATGTCGGAGGAGATGCAGCAGGACTCCGTGGAGTGCGCTACGCAGGCACTGGAGAAGTACAACATCGAGAAGGACATCGCGGCGCACATCAAGAAGGTAAAGGGCTGCGGTGCCGTGTGTGACACCGACGGGGGGAATGCTGCTGGGCGAGTAGCGCTCGAGGAACGAGTTCCAGAGATACCGGCTCCCCGAGCTGGGCTTTCTTGAAGGCTGAGATCGCTTTCCTCGCCGTTGCATGGACTTCTCTGGTCCTTCTGCCTTTCTCTCGCAGTACTTTAAGCTTTTATTTCCATTGCCTCCCCATCCAAACGAACCTATTTGAGAAGGGCTGCTTTGCTGACCTTGTCACCCTTCGGCTTTCCTTCCCACCGCACGCAGGACAAACTGTTCTCACTAAAGCAGAACAGATGGTTCGTTCCTTACAGTGTGTCACATTTTCTGCCTCCTACTTGGAGCCTGACTGAGCTGAGCAGAAGACAAACTCCTGCACGCTCTCACTGCTGTGGACAGGCACTGCAGCACACAACCACCAGCTGGAAGGTTCTGCTCAGACTAGGCTTGCACTGATGAGTTTTAAATAACCTCAGAGCAGGCTCCTGGTATGATGGGTAGAAAAAATGTTCTCTTGGCACTGGTGTAAAGATTTGGGCAAAGAATATTTCAGAGTCCTTTCAGCATCCTTGCTGATAAGAACAGCTAACGAAGTTAAAATAATCTGCACAGATTCAGAACGAGCAGTGAAGCGTGGCTTTGGAGGAAGCAACCAGATTTCAGTCTTATTCCTGGTGAGCTTTTTTAAAGTAAGCAGCAGATAGTTATAAGACAGCAGATGATCCCTGCACTTAAGAGCATATGCTGCTCCTTAATTGCTATCTTCAGAATGCGGTACTTGCTAAGAAGTGACAGATCAGTGCCAAAACAGAAGTGTTAGGCCAGTTCTCATAAGAAATGCTAAATTTGTAGTTCTCTCTTCTGTAGGAATTTGACAAGAAATACAATCCTACTTGGCACTGCATCGTGGGAAGGAACTTTGGCAGCTACGTGACTCATGAGACCAAACACTTCATCTACTTCTACCTCGGCCAAGTTGCTATTCTTCTCTTCAAGTCTGGTTAAACCACGGACTCTCAGTGGCACTGAGTGTGGCTGCAGGACTGCACTGCCAAGCCAAGCAGCCTGCTACCCTCAGCCTTGCTGAGGACACAGACCTCCATCTCCAGGTCTTGTGTTGTATTGTTAATGATCAGGGATTTCTCTGTAGTAGCTGGTATTTTCATTGTGGCTATAAAGGTGTCTTCCTCATATTTATTTTCTTTCAAAACAAAGCTTATTTGCTAATAAAACTAATGGAACAGTTCATCCTGGAAGATTTCTATCTACCCTTCTGCTGTCTTAGTGCTTGCACTGAACTCTATTCCTCTCTAAAGGAACATCCACACAATTTTTCTCCTAAATGCACAGCATGTGAGTGCTGAGTTAATCTATGAGTAGATCATCCATCACTAAGAAAGAATACGAGGAAAGATTGTTTTTCCTGAGAGAAGGTAGAAAAAAAGAGTCTGTGTTTTGAGTCTTTTTCAGTAGGCATAACCTCCCATGCAAGCTGTGGAGCTGCTATTCTGATCTCGTGTGAAGCGCTGAGCTAAGAGCAATTGCCCTTTTTGGCCTTCAGAACACAGGGTTTTTCATTACACAGCTGTCACTTCGTACATCCTCTAGTTTTGTTTTGAGGGGTTTTTAGTTTTCTTTATCCCTGCAGCCTGCAACAGAAGCACCACATCTTCAACAGTTTAGTTTAAGGAACAGAAAGAAAGGTGTGGTGTTTTCATGTAGAGATTATACATCTAGAATTGACAGAGGGGAAGATTTCACAGGTAGGTGAGCATACGTAGTCTGATTTTGGAATAGTTATGCAGTTATTCTCTGAAAAATCTCCTCTCTTTTTAGAAAGATAAAAATACCAAGTTAAGTGAAAAGTAGTTGATGGAGAGCTGTTTTATTCTACAAGCTTTTCATTTGTTTGAAAGAAGTCAGAAGAACACAGAAAAGTCCATTAAGGTCCATATGGCTGAAAGACAATCAGAGCTTAATACAGATTTAATAAATCCAAGTTACTTCTCGTTGCTACAGTAGCCTCCTTGAACCTCAGTAAGAGAAAGGAGGAATCTTATTTGAAGACTAGACAGTCTGTATCCACAGCAGGTGTGACTGAAGCCGCCCCATTCATTGGCACTGCTCAGTTTTGTCCACATTCTCTATGCACTTGGAAGGGAAATTCAAGGGTAAGAAACTGGCCACAGAATTCACTTCACCCTCAGGTCTCGAGGGAAAAAAAGCGACCGATGTCCTTCTGCATCTGACTGCTGGGCAAATACCTGCTGCACTCGTTACAGTTCCAGGGCTTTCAGATCCCTGAGGAAAATCACACTTGCTGTGTTTCACTACATAGCAGACTCACAGTTTGAAACCTGAGTGAATGGCAACAATGCCGGAGTTCAAGTTCTGATAATCCACTTTTAAAAACCCTGCATCTTCTATCATTGCCTTCAGCTCCTCCTGAAAAGTAACAGTTCCATCATTACAACCACCTGGACGCCTACAAGCCGGCTGCCACCACGATTATTTTGGAAGCAATTCTGCACGTTGGTGCATGCAGAGAAATGCTGCCTTACCTGGGGGGGGAAGCGCCGGATGCTCTCCACAAGATACTGGTAAGACTTCCAGTCACCAGCAATAACCTCACCCAGAACAGGGATGACCTGGAAGCTGTACAGATCATAGAGCCTGCAAAGACAGACAGCAAATACGTATTAGTACAAACGAATTTAAAATCAGTCCTCTCCAAAAGTTGGTATCTTTGTCACTTTGCAGTCTGAATTTGATTTAAATGCACAATGAAAAGGCCCAAAGCATCTCCATCTCTTAATGTGAGGGCATGGAAGAGTCTTATGGCATGGCATAAGGTGTCACCATGTTCCTACCTGGAAAGAAGAGGGTTGCTGACATGACTAAATTCAAGGCAGAGAAATCTCCCTCCTGGCTTCAGCACACGATAGGCCTCCTGAAGTGCCTGAGACAAAGCAGACAAACTGATTTTGTTTCTGTAGGACAGCACCTGTCTGTTACCATGCACGTAACAGCAATTCAGTGATCAGCTGAGGGCAGTAAAGACAATCCTGACTGGCAATCTCCAACTTTAACTTGTAGGGAAGCATTCCAAGACCCTCAAAACCCAGAACACTCTGACTGTTGCATAAATAGATTTATACCAGGCTTTAAGATTAAACTATGATATTAGGAAAGCAATTTTTCTTCTCTTTTTTCCTACACTTAAGTTGATCAACATTTGCCAACAGAGCTCTTGTAATTACAGACCAAATCTGGAAAGGAGGTGACTCAACTAGAATAAATTGAAAACGAGAAGAGTAATACAAATACTTTTAATCAAAAGGCTTTGTTCAACTGCAAGACACACCAGAGAATCAAAGAAATGATTCTAGGTTTTGGAGGAATAATGTGTGAGAACAGGAAGGAGGGAAAGGGAAGAAGAGAATATTTAGCTACTTAGAAAATTCCATCCCGTATTCAAAACAAGATGACCAAAGGAAACACCGAGAAGCATTAGAAGAACCACCAAGAAGTTACACTGATAACTCTGTGTCTTTTCCACCAGGAATACAACAAAACTGTGCTCAACAGCCTCTGCAGGTTTTACGTCTCACTGGCTCCAACTGTCATTCTCCCAAGGAAACGACATCAAAATATGAACAGTACACATATATGGCAGGAACAGAATCTGAGGCTTGAGTGTGTTTGTATCAGCTCTCCAAGGAGTCACGCTACCAGACTGCTGCACCTCGTTTCCTCAAAGAAATACGAGCTACTGAGCTTTGCTTCCAAGGGTGCAGATGAAGCACAGTGAAAGGTTCCTGCATTAAGGTAAGTTCAAGGGCAGACTTTTCAAGGTGCTCTGGACCTGAACGCTGCACTTCCACAGAAGGAGCTTTGCCAAGGTCTGTAACGTGCTCCTCCAGAACACAGGCAACTGATCTAACTAGACACGGGTGCTCTGAGCTGTCTTCATCCACATAACAGCCCGTGATTCCCAAAGGCAGATACAACTCAGAGTTGTATCTAGAGTTGTACTTAGAGTTGCAGAGTACCACTCTCACTAATTAAAACTGTACTTGTTTTTTATGGCAAACTGTAAAGACACTGAGCAGAAGTGGGCTGTGCAGGTTACATCAACCTGCTGCTTCATACTTTCTTCTCTGGGAGCTCTGCTGGCTCAAGCAGGGAAACAACAGTGGGTCAGATGCTTCCTGCACCAGAGGCGTGATACAGATCAGGTGCTTCAGGAAGTTTTGGGACATGTAGACTGCAGTGTCATCGGTTAAGAAAAGGTGGGGAATATAGCATTCAGCCCTTTTTGCCTTAGGAAGAGATTGCAGGGCTTGCCAAGCTGGAAAGATTGGCTGCAAATGGTATAAATCTAAGTTCTTATAACAAAGGTGGGGCATTTTATTGCATTCCTTGTTCAAACACACTGCACACTACACGTCACTTATATTAAGTGTCTTGGGAGTAGACAAAGCCATTTCTTTATCTAAAGGTGTTCCTCCTTGGCTTCCTCTGCTAGAACCACAAAAACATCAGATGGACTGAAAGGACGTTGTGCCAGTAAATGCTGTAGCAACTTACCAAATCAATGCGAGTGACATTTCTTATTCCAAAGGCAATTGTGTAAACATCAAACTTGTCATCATCGAAGGGCAGCTCTTCAGCATTCCCAAGCACCCAGGACAAACCTAAGATAAAAACAAAGAACATCCTGAACAGTCTTCCCATCACTCCTGCTCCTCAGACTACTCCAAAACGAACAGAACTTCCCTATTCCAGAAGGAAGTGATTATGAATAAATTGCTATTGAAAAGCAGTGCTTCCATTTTGCCTTTCTGCTGGAGCGAAACAACAACATCTTTGCCTTCACTCACAAATCTCTCGATGCCCTGTATTGCAGCATAGCAGCCAAAGCATTCCTCTGTGTGCGTGTGAATGCCTTGCACTCACAGGGTTTTGGTCTGCCAGAAAGATTTCACCCAAATTTTGCACTGAAGTGGAAAATGACACAAACTGGCTTCAACACTTAAAATTTTTTTGCTAGAAAGTTTCCATTGATTGAGGAACATAAAAAAACCCCACACTCCATCAGCACTCAACTTGTGACCCTGCTGCAGCCGTGTTGTTTCCCAAACGCCAAGGACCATCTGTGCACCATTAGATGTTCGGGTTATTTGTACTATAAATAAGGCTGCTTAATTTAGAATTAACAGATTTTAAGGTCACTTTTTGGTGACTGTGATGCAGAACAATAACAATAAACTAAAAAAAACCCAAACAACCAGGAGCTTTCTGCACTGGAGAGCAGCAGTTTCAAAGGACAGTGTGCTAGAAACAGGCACAGAGAACAACAGAAAACCTGAGTTGTTGCCAGGAAGCATTCAAATTTCATTTTTATGAAGTCAATATGTTAACAGTTGTAGAAAATATTGTAAGCAAAAGAGCATGCAACATTATTAAGCAAATATTAGCTTTATTTAAGCCCCGGCAGTCTGGAAAGACAAAAAGTGAGCATCAAGAACAGGTTTTAAGCAACAGCAAAATGTCCCTCAGAATACACTGCAATAAAATCACAGGGCAGAAGTTTGTAAGGGGAGAGATGACAGGGACTGCTGGTAGCAAACAAGATCTGGGTGCATGCAGTGCACCCTACCACTCCTGCTGGCATCAGCCATTGTGAAGCACTCGTGTTTCTTCTCAGCACGCGCAGCCACCACTGTTGGCAGATATGAATGCAGAAATGTGTGCATGGGAAAAGAGTGAGAGAAAAACTACGCTCCTTGAAATTGGGCAAATGTCAGACCTTGGACAACGAGCAAATGAGCTCAGAAATGAGTTCCCTGGCAGAAGGGGGAATCACAGGAAGAGCAGAAGGCAGGACACACCCTGTGGGTATGTGCTGAACGAGGGGGTGAAGAAAAGAGGAAGTCAGAATTGTGGCACAGGGGGACAACCCAAGCAACAGGAAGACAACTGAGTTTCTAAAGCTGCATTCTACAGAGAAAGGAAGTGGAAATCTAAACACTCATTTTGAGAATCTGTTATTAATTTTTAAAAATTTCTAATTTTCAAGCACAGCTTTGGTATAAACCATGGCTATATATTTTAAATCCCAAAGTGGTGATTACCTGAAGGCTATCACTTGTCAAATCCTATCAACCATGTTACTGAAACGGTCCGAAGCATGACTTACCTTCAGAGTAGCCAAGATGCTGTGCTTTCTGCTTCCCAGCTTTTAACATTTCTTTGTTAATGTCACAAACCACAACCTGGGAATCCCCCAGTGGATTATTTTTTTCCTCCTGGTAACTCTTAGAAATTTCCTGCCACGACAAATTCTGGTGGTGCTTAAGCTTCTGCTGGAGCTGGCGTTCTCGTACGGAACGAACGTAATTAAGGAATCGAAAGGCAATGTCACCTGCAATGGTTTGAGAAGAAGGAGATGGTTTTTAGAATGTTTTTTCAACTTGGAAATACTGAAACTCCGTGAAATTGGAACATAAAGCTTTGAACATCAAACTCAGCACATACACATTACACATATAGCATGTATGCAAATACAAGTATGTATGTATTTAATAAAGGGAACATACTAAAAGCAAACATTTCCACATCTTCCTGCAAAAGGAAAATTTCTGGTAGCGTATCATGGCACTACTGTGGTAACTTCAGAGCCTTACAGTGACGTGGTCATACAGAACTACAGGAGGGTTTACCTGTTCCACCAGCAACATCCACAAGGAGCGTTCCTGGGGAAGGATTCATTTTGTGCACGAGGATGTCCTTCCACACCCGATGGATCCCCAGGGACATCGAGTCATTCATTACATCGTATTTCTCGGCCACGTTTTCAAACACCTGGTAAACTGCAAAGAGAGAGGTGTGAGGATGAGATGCGACCGACTTAAAATCGGCCCCTTGGAAACCAGACGGGAGAAATTCTTCTCTCCTTGGGGAGGTCTGGCACCGTGCTGAACTAGGAAAGTTCACCCGAGAACTCCTTATACCGAGAAAACGAGAGGATCCCATTGACCTTGCTGAGCCACAAAGGTCTCTCTGGAGGAACAGCGTCTGTTCCCGTAACCCTTCTGTGGGTCCGAGGAGATGAAATGAGTGGGAATGAATCGAGCGGGGATGAAACGAGTGGGGACGCCGCCGCACACCGAGCCCCCCCAGCCCCGCCGGGCCCTGAGCCCCCCCCAGACTGTTGTCCGGCCCCGGCGCTGCCGCCCTCACTTTTCTCCCTCCGCTCCGCCTCCGTCACGTTCTGGAAGCCGAAATGTGTCTCCGGCCGGGCTGCCAGCCCCCGGGCGGCGCAGAGTAGCGCGCAGAGAGCCCCGCGGCGGCGGGAGAGCAGCGCGCAGCCCGGCCTCAGCCCCGCCGCCATCTTGGAGGGCGCGTCCGCCACTCCGCCACCGCGCGGGGTCCTACTGGCGCTTGGCCCGCCCGGCTGCCCCGGCCCGGCACCACTCCCTTAGCGCAGCGCACCGGGCAGAGCTCAGGGCTCACCCGCTCCGACCGAGCGGTTTCCCCCTCGCGCACCGCTCGAGCCATCCGCGACCACCAGCGCCTCAGAGACACGACAAGGGCGCCGAGCTCTGTGTCACGTTGGAGGGAGTAGCGCGCTTAAGGCCGTTACTGGGAAAGCCCCACACGCTGCGCTCACGGAACCGCGTCCGGGCGGCTCAGCCGTGAGGAAAAACAAACGGGAAAGGCCCCACACGGGCGGCACGCCGGCAAGCGGAGCCCCACTAGCAGGCCACGGCCAGACCCCGCCCCGGCGGCCGGCACATACGTCGCTATGGCAACGACCGCGGAGCACGCCGGTCCGAAAGAAAACGCAGGAGTAAAACGCGGCGAGAGTGCCGACTCGTAGCCAATGAGCGCGCGGAGCGGCCGCGGCGTTGACCAATAGCCGACGGGCAGTGCGGAGAGGGCGGGGCTGGCGGCACCGGGAGGCGGGTGCGACGCGCGCGGGTCGGTTAAACCGGCGCGGCGGCGGCACGAGCGGCTGATTGTGGTGCGTGTTCCCCTTCCTGCGCCGGTCCGCTGCGCGCCGATTCGCCAGGGCTGCTCCTGCTCCGCGGTCGCGGAACGGTAAGGGGTGGATGGGGAGCGGGGGAGGGGGGCTGCCGGGCGGGAGGGCACCGGGCTGCGTCAGCTCCCGATCGGGGCCGGCCGGGAGCTGCGCGCGGTGAGTTGCTGCGTCCGGGCGCTTCCAGCGCCGCAGCGTGCGGCCTGCGCTCGGCTCCGTGGGGCGGCGGCCCCGCGTTGCGGAAGAGCTGCGGGGCGGTGGCTGCCGGGCTCCGTGCGGCGCCGGGCTGCGGGAGTCGGAGGGAGCGGCCGCGTGTGACCGCAGCACGGCGCTCCGTGCCCGCTGCAGGCAACCATGAGTGACCGAAAGGCGGTGATCAAGAACGCCGACATGTCGGAGGAGATGCAGCAGGACGCTGTGGAGTGCGCTACGCAGGCACTGGAGAAGTACAACATCGAGAAGGACATCGCGGCGCACATCAAGAAGGTAAAGGGCTGCGGTGCCGTGTGTGACACCGACGGGGGGAATGCTGCTGGGCGAGTAGCGCTCGAGGAACGAGTTCCAGAGATACCGGCTCCCCGAGCTGGGCTTTCTTGAAGGCTGAGATCGCTTTCCTCGCCTTTGCATGGACTTCTCTGTTCTTTTTGCTGTTGTCCTGTAATACTTCCCATTTAAGCGTTTACCTCTGTTGTCTCCTGTCCGGTTGAACACAAAAGTGGCAGCTGAGCCGTCCCTGGGACTGATCTGGGCCAAAATACAGTGGCTCTATTGAGTGCCCCTACAGCTTCCCTCTGAGAGAAGGCTTGTTTGATGGAGTTCTCAGTTACAGCTTTATTTAACTTAATCTTCAGGATCTCTTCAGTTCTGTACAGCTGAAACAGAAACCGTGTGGCAGCATCCTCTTCTGCAAGTTTACTGTAATTGTGTCTTATGTAGTAACCAAAGCAAAAAAACCAAACAGACAAAAAAAACCACCAAAACTTAAAACCAAAGTAAATAACATCTGCTTGTTTTTTAATCTGTTTGCTGTTTTTTTTAATATCAAATTAACTGTAGTGAATGAGGAGCATAGTCAGCCCAGGTGAATAGAAAAATCAGAGTTTTAGTGGAAGTGACTAATTTGAATGGCAGAGCTACCTGAAAAGCAATGAAACTAAGAAAAAATCTTTCCTTTGGAGAAAATGCTGCTCATAATACAGAAAGGTGTTTTTTTTCCCCAGATGCTGGAGATATCTGTGATAGTGGAGAAGAGAGAGTTTAGCCTAATGTTACTCAGGTACTTTTTGTGGCAACTGCTAGAGACTTCTAGAGAATTTACTTGATAGGTGTAAAACACAGCTACGTAGGAGATGAGTAGATAGCACTGGTATTACACAGCTTCTGGCAGAGTGTTTTCCACAAACAGTCCCATCAGCACCCGTGTTAGACATGAACAAAGGAGTTCAAATAATGGCTTCGTCTCCATAGATACAAAACTGGTGGTGAAGCCTTCACTTGGAGGCTGTAGTTTTAGATGATGAATTAGGGGAGGGAGAAGAGTACCTTCACTGAGCAAAGGCAGTGTTCTGAGCTTCTGTCTGCTCAGATGGGAGGCACTGTGTTTTTCTTTTTCTTTCTCTTTTTTTTTTTTTGGTCTGACTAAGCAGCAGGTGAACAATGCTAGGATTATCTTGTTTAGAACGTATTCGAGAGCATCTGCTGCTCCTCTGACTGCCCTGCCCAGAAATTAAATGCCTGTTTAGAAGTGTTCTTAGCATCTAGTGGTCTGTTTTGCAGGAATTTGACAAGAAATACAATCCTACTTGGCACTGCATCGTGGGAAGGAACTTTGGCAGCTACGTGACTCATGAGACCAAACACTTCATCTACTTCTACCTCGGCCAAGTTGCTATTCTTCTCTTCAAGTCTGGTTAAACCACGGACTCTCTCTGACACTGCATCTGGCTGCAGGACTGCTGGCTCCTGTGCCCAGATCCTTCAGCCTTCCTGAGGACGCAGACCTTGATCTTCAAGGGCAATGGCAGGGATCATGATATAGCAGAAGGTGTTACGTTGTGGATATGAAAATGAAAAATACCAAAAAAAAGTCTTCCTTATATTTATTTTTTTTTTTCTAAAAGGCTTCATTTTTGCTAGTAGAGCTGATGGAGGAGTGTGGCCTTTAAGAGTTCTATGCCATCTGCAGTATCAGTCCATTACTGCTTATGCTCTGTGAGTACTGACAGTGTTCTGTTCCAAAGCTCTCCTTTTCCTTTCTGATTCTCTCGTACTGTTGGATATACTGACAGCTGTACTGTTGCAGAGCCTGAGCTGTTTCTTTTTCTGCTGATGCCTCTTGGAGATTTGATTTGGAAAATAAACGTCGAGATCCACCCGGCTGCCGCCTTGTTTTCTGGGTAGGGTCGTAGTGCCCGCGGGACTACAACTCCCGGCATGCCCCGCGCCCCCACCCGGCCCCGCCCGCTGCCCAGCACCGCCGCGGAGCGCTGCTCGCACGTGGGGAGCGGTTAAACCGCAGCGGGGCGGAGGGAGACGGTGCGGGGCTGCCGGTGGACTCCGGGTACCTCCGCTCCTCCCGGGGGTGTGGGTGCAGGTGGCCATGGATGAGCAGAAGGCGGTGATAAAGGACACGGACATGTTGGAGGAGATGCAGGAGCAGGCTGTGCAGTGTGCCGTTTTGGCCATAGAGAAGTACAGCGTTGAAAGAGAAATCGCTGCCCTTATAAAGAGGGTAAATAGCTGCGATATCCTGCTTTTTGATCTGCTCGCATCAGAGGTAGGGTGGGGTGGGTGGCACTGAGCTTCCTGGAAAGGCCAGTTCTGTGGGGGCAAGGCACGGTGGGCCCTGGGCTTCTTTCCCTCTGTTCCTTTCTGTCACCCTTACATGTGTCTTATCTAGAACGTGTACTTTTCCAGGTCCTTCCCATTTTGTTTCGCAGTACCTCCTGTTTTAAATTTCTTTGTTGCTCTCACTGAGCAACAGGAGGGCATCTGCTGGCCTGTCCCAGTGCCTGGAGCTGGTAGGAAACTGAGTCTGCCATAGCTTTCCTCTGAGGAATACTTGAACTGTGCCTGAATTGGTCTTAAGGTTCTGTTCACATTTCTGTAGCAGTTGTGCAACACTGGCTGCCTGGTTTGAAATTTGCAGTGGGAAATAATTTTCAGCATAGCTTCTGTATTCACTCCCCTGTGCTGAACTATGCAAACATCTTGAGGCCTGGGGGCCTGGTGTCCTTATGGCTGTGTGAGAAGCAACAAGGGGTGCATGAAGTTCCTTCTGCCTTGCCATCTTAAGTTGCTGAAGGAATCCAAAGGTTCCGCAGCTCTGAGAGGGAGCTGTTCAGTCCTTCAATAGGAGTACAAATGCTTCTTTTGTGGGAGTCTTCCTTTCCTCTCATAAGGAATATACTTTGGTGCTGGTGAGCAGAGGGTTTGCAGTTTGTTGTGTGGCTCCTTGGTGGAGCCTGAAAACTGGGAGATAGGAACTGCTTAACCAAGGTTGTAAGAGCTGACCCTTACCTGGTATGGGCTGAGGCCAAACTCTGACATTTGGGGAGATGTTCCTGGGCTCATTCCTGCTCAGCTATGAAGTGCTGTGGGTTTGACTTTCTGTAGTCTGAGCAGCAGTGAGCTGCAAAATGTAACAGTCTTTGAAGCAAACAGCACCCAGTGCTTCTTAATTGCTGTTCCAAATGGCTGCCTATTGAGAAGAGACACATCCTGACTGAAAATCTACAGCCAGGGCAAGGGAAGGTCTGCGCCAGCACTAACTTCGCTGTGGTCTCTTCCCCAGGAGTTTGAGAAGATGTACAGCCCCACTTGGCACTGCGTTGTAGGAAGGAAGTTTGGCAGCTATGTGTCTCACGAGACCAAGCACTTCATTTTCTTCCTGGTGCGTGGCCTCAATGTGCTCCTGTTCAAGGCTGGGTAGCAGCTATTGCTGGAAGCTGCAGTGCTGTGCAGGCTGCAGGTGACAGCACAGTGCTTCTGGGACGCTGTTGTGTTCGGCACGGGAAAAAAAAAAAGAATAGTTATTTGTTTTTATTTCCGAAGTCAGCTCCTTTGTTGTTTCAAATGCTGTGTTTACGCGTCTTTCTGAAGTCAGTCCCTGCCCAGAGGGAGCCTCGGCGGGCCGGCAGGGGGCGCTGTGCGCGCAACCTGGGCGCAGGGCCGGCTCTGGGACCGCTCTTTCATGTCGCTATAGCAACGAGTGCAGGCGCGAGGCATGCGCGAGGATCTTCCGCTCTCCGCCCCGTGGCCAATGAGCGCGCGGAATGGTGGAGGCGTTGGCCAATGGGTAGCGGAGGGGGCGGGGCTAGCGACTCCCCGGGGCGGTTAAAGCGTTGAGGCGGCGGCGGTGCGCGTCCGCCCGCGGGATTGCGCGGCTCCTGGCTGCGCGCTGTTGGTGCAGGGGGCCATGGGCGAGCAGAAGGCGGTGATAAAGGACACGGACATGCCGGAGGAGATGCAGCAGCAGGCCGTGCAGTGCGCCCTGCGGTCCCTGGAGGAACACAGCCCTGAGTGCAGCGTTGCCGCTCATATAAAGAGGGTAAATGTGACTAAGCCGGGCTCTGCGTGCTGCTGAGCGCGGCACCCTGCTCTGCACCGCTCCGCCGTGTCACGCCTTCTCCGCTCCTGCAGGAGTTTGACAGGAGATACAACCCCACGTGGCACTGCGTTGTGGGGAGGAACTTTTCCAGCTGTGTGACGCATGAGACCAACCATTTCATCTTTGCCTACCTGGGCCACGTCGCTCTTCTTCTCTTCAAGTCTGCTTAGAGCTGGGGGCTGCTTCCCGAGCCCCGGCCAGCCCTTCCGTAACCCGCAGCCCGCTGCTCTCAGGCCGACCGGGGGAGGACGCCGAGCACGGGCTTTGCTGAAGTGAATGGTGTTCTTGTTGCTCCTAGGGGCGAAATGGAAAAAGGAACCCCTCTTTGTGTTTATTTGTGTTCTACAGCAGGCTTCTTTCCCAATAAAAGCGTTCTGCCTTTCGAAGCTGTGCGGCTGTCTGCGCTCTCTCTGACGTTGCTTGGGCTGCTTGTTTCCCCCCGAGCCCTGCAGTGAATATACTCACAGCTTGGTCAGTGATCGAAAGGTAACAGATGAATTGGGGACAAATGAAAGCAGTCCCTTTGTAAGGCTTTTGCTAAAGGGTAACATATGTATGGTTATGTAGTCTTTTTGTTAACTCTCCTTTGTCTTTTTGCTGTTGCACTGAGGCTGAAGTTCCTGCCCAGAAAATAACAAGAAAGGGATCAGCGCTTGCACTCAGGATATTCAAACGCTGTTTTTCGATTGAATTAAAACCCCTTTAAGAAGCCGTTGTCATTTCAGTCTGAATCCCCATTTTATTTATTTATCTATTGTTCGGAGGACCAATTTGCAAGTCTTACACAAATTCAGCAGAACTGACTTGTTTTTATTTATAACCTTCACAACCGTTTGTCACAGTTACTGCGTGCTATCGAGGTAGGCTCACACGGGAGCCCCGAGGACGGGTTGCGATCTGTTCCCCCGCCCCGATACCTCTCGCTTTCGTGGCCCTGCAGCCGCTACACTCCCGGGGCACTACAACTCCCGGCGTGCCCCGCGCGGCCCCGCACTACAACTCCCGGCGTGCCCCGCGCCCCGCCCGGGCCCGGCTCCATCCGGGTCCCGGCAGTGCTGCGGGCGACTCGTCGCCATTACGGGGCAGCGGCGGCGGCGGCCGAGCCGGGGCCGGGGCGGCGCCGAGGAGCCGTAGGGTGCCTGCGTGGCGCCGACCGACCGCGCGGGCGGCAGGCAGAGCCGGGCCCCGCGGGGCTCCGCCAGCAGCTCTTTCCGTCGTCGCCCGGAGCCCCGCAGGCCCGGCCCGGCCTTCCGCGGCCTTCCCCCGGTTCAAGCGGAGCGCCGAGAAGATGTCGCCATGAAGGAGGCCGAGTCCGCGCTGCGCCGCCCCCGCCGGTCCCCCCCGCGGGCCATGAGCCTGGGCCCCCGCCGGCTCCTCCAGCGCCCGTTGTGCCCCCCCGCCCAGGGCCGCCGCTCGCCCGCCGGGGCGCCCGTTGATGCTGCAGAGCCCGCCCGGCGCGCCCCCCTCCTCCGCCCCCGCCATGGACAAGAGCGGCCCCTGCGGCCCCGGTGCGCCCGGCTCCTCGGCCGGCGGCAAAGCGCAGCCGCCGCGCTCCGCCTCGGCCGGGCCCGCCGCTGGGGAGTCTAAGCCTAAAGGCGGTAAGAGCCAGGACGGGACGGGGGTTTCGGAGCCTTCGGGCTGCGCGGGGCTCCGTGATTCGGGACGGGGGGGAGGGACCCCGGGCCGTGCGTTCAGCTCGGTGCCTGGTGTGGTTATGGTTTTCCCTCCTCCTCGGCCCCGTTCTCCAAGGGTTTCTCTTCTTCCCTCAGGGTTGTGTTTGGTTTCAGGTCTGGTGTTAAGAAAAGCGTGTTGTTAGGAGCTGTAAGGCTCTGGCACAGGTTGCCTGGGGGTGGTGTGGTCGCTGTGACAGGTGTTCTAGAGCTGGGGAGATGTGGCACTGAGGGACACCGTCAGAGGGCATGGTGGGCTGAGGATCTGAGAGGTCTTTTCCAACCCAATGGCTCCATGATCTATGCTGGCATTGGAGCAATCTGTTTGAGAGACAGAGCTCTGGTTTTGCACTAAGAACACATGTGTGCTGCTGCTTGTCAAGAAGCACTGACTTTGTTCTGCACTCAGGCCTGTGCCTTTTTGCTGAGCTTAAGGAGGTGCTGTGTCCCTGCAGCAGTCCCTCACTGAGTGCTCTGCTGACCATCTTTGGGAGAGGTCAGAGTACATGTTGCAGCGTATCTGGTGTTGCAATCGAAGTGCCACAGCTGTCATTGTACACAGCTGGTTCTGCTGACGGAGCAGTTGGTGATGAGCCTTCCTGCTTCCTCTCCTGGTTCTTCTCCAGGTAAGAACTGAACCTCCCCCAGACCCGTAAGGGTGATCAGAAGCCCCATTCCTGCATTTTCTTCAAATTGTAGAAGCGAGGCAGCAGCATTCAGAGCGTGTGGTTGTGGTCCCGGAAGTGTGTGTGTGTGCTTACAGGTTGCTTCAACACCATCGCTGTCCATATTTCCTTCCTCATTGGTTTATTTTGGCTGAAATACTTCAGGCAGCCCACACACAGCATTAGGTGTCCTGAAGATGCTGGCTCCTTTTTAGATCTCGTAAATGTGTTCAGGTTCCAGGTGGCTGAGTACTGCCTGCTGTTCAGCTGTATTCACTGATCTCCCACTGAGCAGCCTGTGTGTAGTTTTCTCTAGATATGTAGGGTTTTTCTGTTTTCAAGTGTATAGATGTTTTTTTTTTAATAATTTTGAAGTGTATGCTTATAAAGAATATCTGATGTGATGTAGTTCTGCCTCTGAGACATCTGTTAATTGCAGTGGGGAGGTGCTATGGGATGAGGCCCTGCCTTTATGGCACATTGAGGAGGTCTGTAAAGGAAGCAGCAACTTCTTCAGCAGGAGTTTATGTGTGTTTGGGAGTGTCTTCCTTGGAGTGTATTGAGAACTAGAATGAGAAGGTTCCCCTGGTTGGATGGGATCAAGCAGCCCTGGGCTGAGTGTACACAACGCAGTGGTGTTGAACAGTGACTTTGTTTTCTCACTGTCTTGTCTCACAGCAGACACTGACATCTCTTCCTCACACAGGCTTTCTTTCTCAAGTTCCTTATCCACCCAGAAGCAGCCAGGCTGAGGCTAGCTGATGCAGCCTGCCCAGGTTGAGAACTGTATGGGAGGAATTCTGAAACTCTGGTGTCTCCTTTTGAAATGCTCTCCACAGAAGGCTGACCTGTTTCATAACTGCTTTTGCACCAGTGCTCGCTGGCTTTAAGTCCAGCCAAGCTCTTGTCCTTTATGTGCTGCTCAGTTACCTCATGCAGCTGTGTCCAGCTGAGGAGAAGGAGGAAAGGACATTCCTGAAACCATGGAGAAGCTCCTCCTGTTCTCTTGCAGCATGGCTTGAAGCGAGCTAATGGGGATGCTGCAGGTGTCCTGACTGTGGGAGAGGCATTCCAACTTCTTTTCAAACATGGCCTTAGAAACTAAATTAAACTTTACTCCATAAGGCAGGAACAGTTTTGTTGCTAGCACTATAAAGTTATGTAGACAGCATTTTGTAGGTCTGCTCTTGGAGCATGAGTGGGTAAATATTACAGGTTAGGTCTAAGGAGAACTAAGGATGTAGGGGAAGAGAAAATACCTCACCTGCACTGCTGCTGCCAATGTCTAATTTGCCAAGAAAAGATGGAAAAATAAACCCCAAATCCAAACATACCCTGCTTAAAACTAATGAGTGGCTGTTGTGAGAATCTTTTGCTTTTCTCCCTGCGTGAGGGCAGATATCCCTGTGCTCTGTGCAGCTCTGAAGGGAGTGCAGGGAGGGGTGACGCAAAGCAGAGCTCTGGCACGTGGCCTGCTGTAAAGGTCAGCAGGAATGGCACTGCTTAGTTTTGCTGGGGGAAAAAGAGATGTTCCAGATTACAGATGCATATTTTAAACTCTTGGTTGTCTGCTGACTAATTTCACTGCTACCTTGATGGACTGGAATCCTCGTGGGGGTTAGTTACTTTGGGAGGGGGAAAAAGGGATCAGTAAAATCAAGTTTGAAGCGTTGTCAGGCTGTAATGTGAAGACCTTCCTGAAGAGGCACAGGTGGGGAGGACTCTCCTGTAAAATGTAAGAGCTGTTGCTGTGAGTCGCAGAGCTTGGAGGAGCCTGTCTGGAGTGATGCAGTGTGGCAGGAATGTGTGTAAACCAGCTGGCTGACACACTGGTGCCCTTGATGATGACTAATGTGATTGAAACGACAAGGGGAAGGAAGTTCTGTTAGCAGCACGTAGGAGAGCTGCTCCTGGGCCTCGTAGAGAAATGTAAAAACTCACTTCAGACTGAACATCTCCTCTTGAGTTTGTTTTTCTCCATTGGGGGTTGCAGAAAAAACTGCAAAGCCGCTACAGGCAAAACAGGAACGTTCCTTTCTGTGGCATTGGCTGCGGTTGTGGTTTTCAGAGGGCTCTGAAGCAGTGAGCTTTGCTTGTAAACAACTGAAGCAGTGGTCCAAACCTGCTCTAAATAACTTGATTTTTGACCAGAGGCTGAAGGGTGTTGATTATGGCCTCTTTCCTGCAAACACTCCAAAAAAGGTCTATCTAATCATGAAACCAGGCCCGGTTACACCCTGAGCACTTGGCAGCTTCTGGTGTGTTTTTTTCCCTGATAACTCTAAACCTGTGTCCTTTCAGCCTGCGTGTGGCTGTGGGGCACAGCAGGTGTTGGAGTTGCATGTCTGTGGTTCTGGTGGGGTTGGTTTTATTCTGAACTGAGGGATTTGTGTGAGCAATGCCATTGTGAGGTACACTGACCTGTTTGCTGCCATATGAGATTCATCTGAAGGGGTGGGAAGGGCTATGGAGTGGGAAAGGAGAAACTAATTGGATTGTTTTACAAAGCAGAACTGGATGCCATGGCCAATATGAGGTGTGTGTGGTGCTCAGTAGCTGCAGCATGGGGATGGCAGTTGTGCAGAGAACCTGCTGAGCCTGGGGAGCTCAGCTTCTAAGTTCGTCAGCAGAGCTCTTCTGCCACTAAAGCTTATGGCAGGTGGTGGGAAAGCAGCCTGCTGCGTATTTGAGGCAATTCCAGCAGTAGGTTAAGACTACTGGAGACATCTCCATAGCATTAGACTTCAGTTTAACCATTTAAGAAGTAGCTGTGTAGACAAAGGAAACGTTTCTCAGGAGCTTGACTGATTGTTCGGCTCTTGTGAGCCTCAGGCCTGCAGTGTTTTGCTCTGTGCTCGTTTCCTGTGCTGTATGGCAGCTGTGTGCTCAGCACACTGCCAGGCAAACCGTCCTTGTTGTGTGGGTGATGGATTCAGTATCAGATATTGGGAATGTGCACTGAGAGGCTGAGGTGTCAACATCAGTGGGTGTTTGTTGGCCTTGTGAAAGAAAAGGGTATTAATTTTTAAAACAGATCAGCTGGGGGCAGAGTGAAAATTGGCAGTGGAGTTTTGAAAAGAGGGAGACTTCAAGGCAGATGCGGGTGGCTGCATTTATTTAAGGGAAGGATATAAAATATTCAGAAATGGAATGAAAAATGACCCGGCTGCTGTCAGTTCTTGTAATGGGCCATGGAGGCACAGCGTTGGTGCTCATGGCTGAGCGCACCAGGGAACGTGCTGACGAATAAAACTAAGAGAACTGTTTGAGTAAGGGCTGAATCACAGGAGATCAATCCTTCCCTACGCTCTGACCGGTTTGTTGGGCTGTGTGCATGACCTCCTTCTGAGCAGTGCTCAAACCAGGGGGGAAGGTGGTGCTGTCTCTGGGGCTCTGGCTGATCCTTGTGTTGTTCTTTTCTTTCAGATGGAAAGAATACGAATGGATCCAAACAGCGCTACAATCGGAAAAGAGAAACTTCATATTCCAAAAATGAGAACTTTTCC